GCTGACATCATTCGGCCAATATAATCATTCATACCATTCATATCATCTATAATTATAACAATAATAAAACAACAATAACAATAAATAATAATAATGAATATAAATAATAATAAATAAATTCTGAACTGTTACTTCGTCTCGCCATCGATGCCAAAAAATTGCTCGACCGTTGCCTTGCAGATCTTCGCGGCTCCTCGATCTATAACATTACAATAATTACAATAAATAATAAACAATAACAATAACAAACAATAATAAATAATAAAAATAACAAATAATAATAATAATAAATAATAACAATAACAAATAATAATAATAAATAATAAAAACAACAACAAATAACAATAAACAGTAATAACAAGTAACACAAAAAACAAATCACCACCACTTCCACCGAACTGTCATCATTAAAACTATCGCTCCGATTACTTCCCCGACCCGGCCAACGCATCGATCTCGAATTAATTGGATGCGGCTGTCTCTCTCCATTCTGCGTTTATTATCACATTACAATAATAGTAATAATAATAATAATAAATAATAATAATCAGCATATATAAACGTATTTTAGGTTGGAAACAACGATAGAGACCCTGGTTGGAGCATCGTGACCCCGTATTCCAGGGAATAAAATTCGATTGAGGGAGCATTAGTCATTATTGTCATTGATATTTTTATTATTGTTATTATTATTATTATTATTAATTATTATTATTATTATTGTTATTATCATTATTTATTATTATTTATTATTATTACCATCCTTACCTGAATATTCCGAACACTAGACCGATGCAACCTCAGAAACGGATTCGTTGGCATGCTTAAATACGCATTCTTTAACATTTAATATCGTTGATTATTAGATAGATTGATTGATTCTTATTATTTTTCACAATTATTAATTATTATCACCGTTATTGCTATATACTATTACACAAAACACTACTATTATACATAAACATTTATCGCATTATTAATATATAAATAATATCCATTAAAATGCCAAACCAATGAAAAATAAAGTGAAACAACTAACGGTCTCGGTCTGCGGCTCACTGGCATCGTTTCATCCACCTGAACAATAATAATTATAAAACAACTATTATTACTAATACACATGCGATAACATTAATATTATGCAATAGCGATATGGCAATAGGACTGATGAAATTTACAACATTAATAATAATAATAATTATTATTATTATTAGTATAACAACAATAGAGACGATCCTAAATAACATCAGTAATAATTACTCATAACAGTATAACAGTAACAAAAGTAATATATACTCACCAAAACATCGTCAAACCCATTCTCGTTCACCGACCTTCTCGCATTCGCCAACTGCCGTCGTCTTGCTTCGTCCTCACTAATTATTATACAACCGTTAAAAATAATAAATATAATAAACATAATAATAATTATCATTATTATTATTTTTACTATAATCACTACTATTCATACAAGATCCGCCCACACACACGCGCAACAAAGGCACTGGTGCAAGTCCCGCCCACACAATCGCGCAACATGACTGATAGGGTCTGGCACCGCCCACGCAGCCATGCAATGACACATTAGCATCAGCTAATTATTTCTAAAAGCGCAGCAAAACAAATGCGCATAACTTAACAACTAATATATTGTCAAAATAATGTCAAATATATTGTATTGTCAAAATTGTCAAAATATTGTCAAAACAATATATTGTCAAAATTGACCAATCAGCGTAAAACTGCAAAACGCTCACCCAAAATACTGACTGTTCTGGTCGAAACTCTCCAGATCCACTCCCGACGAGGCGAAGTCAAACAACAACTCGGCAAAACGATCCGCATACGCCGGTCTAATGCTCACCAATCTGGCCNCTGTCGACGAGAATTGCGGTGAGTTGATCTGATGTGTGCACACTGCCTTATAGATACGGTCTATTATCCAGTCCATTGATTGCGCGTGCGTGGGCGTATCCTTTAATTTTCAGCTTAGAGATATGCATGGCAAGGTACCCGGTCAATCTGCCTAACGATATTTTGCCTAGCGACAGTTTGCCTAAAGACAGACTGCCTAACGGATAATTTGCCTAACTTACGGTTTTTTAACGAATATTTCGCCTAATAGGCAAACTGTCCGTTACGCAAACTGTCCGTTACGCAAACTGTCCGTTACGCAAACTGTCCGTTAGGCAAACTGTCCACTGGGCAAACTGTCCGTTAGGCAATGTGTCTTTAGGCAAACTGTCCGTTGGACAAACTGTCCGTTAGGCAAAATGTCTTTAGGCACATTGACCGTCCACGACACCGCACTGCTGCTGCTACCCACTACAATATTATCCGTCGTACCACTCTTATATGATCATTAACAGCATTCATATCCACATATACACCATTAATTATCATGTTTTAATCACAATCACTATTATAACAGCAAACTCACTCGCAACAGAACGGACAGATCGCGTCGTATGAATGTGGCCAGTCTCGGTTTCTGACTGCTTTGATTTAGCATAAAAAACACTGGCGTTAGCTGTATCCTTCCGCGTGACTGATTATTATTACTATTACTATTATTATTACTGTTATTACTGCCATTGATAACATAATTTGTAAAATCGTTTATAATAGTATCACTCGAGATGAAACTATTATCGGTGTGGATGATTGGACGCCGCCTCAAGTCCATTTCATAGACCAACAGTCGAAACGTCGGGTCATTCAGCACCTCCCTCCTGTATGCATAATACTGATGTAACTATTCATAAAAATATTAATAATATTTACATAATAACAATAATAATAATAACTATAACGATACTGCAGTGTCAGCTGGTGGGCGGGGCCTGAGAGCGCATCCGAACGCTTAAACTAGCACCGCCCACCAACGGTTTCTCTTGCGATAACTCGCTCTGAAACAGTGGTTCCCACACTACGGGAGGGGAAAATTACCCATTTTTTAGGGAATCTCGGGAAACGGAAAGGCTCGGGAAATCAGTTCTGACGTCTTTTGCATGGACATGATAAAATAATGCAACAAGGGTGGGGACGGATGGGTAAGGAAAGCCCGACAGACCATCGAAGAGGGTAATGGAGCATCCGCATACTAAAATACTGCTTTGGGAAAACTGCTCTAAACCGACACTATCTGCATTCAAGTTCCCACTAACACACCAAACAACAATCAATGCAAATGATTTCAAAACGTCACATCATTAACGGATAATACCAACAAACAAATAACACCGAAGCGAACCTCGGTCTGTCAAAGCTGTCCAGCAGCAACTGGTAACGATTACAACGCTCTACACAAACCTGACGTTGACGTGACCATTCGGGTGATGTTTCAACGCCATTTCGTTCGTTTCTTCAAATTATTACTGTTACTTTTCTATGAGGCACTACTGGCACTTGTTTACTTTGGATGAAAAGGGGCGGGGGGTCGCACGCGAGCACGCTCGCCTACAACACGCACATACGCCCACGCACTATGAACGACGCTTGCGCACAA